ACACCCCCTCTGAGGGCTCCCTTTGTCCTCAGCCCAGGTGGCCTTCAGAAAGACGTTGGAGAAGGAAGCAAAGGGAGTGGAGCCAGACATCGCCGTCCCCAAGTTCAAGCAGGGGAAGTGGGAGTCCGATGGGGCCTATATCCAGCGCATGGAGCAGGAGGCCAAGCATGTGCTGTTCCTCAGCAAGAACCAGGCTGACCGGCAGCCTGAGACACAGGCAGCTCCCAAGAAGGAGAAGTCGGAGCGGAAGAAAGCGTGAGTGGGTGCTGGAAGGGGCTGGGGTCTAGCCCTGGAGGCCTGGGGGAGGCAGGGCAGTGGGGTCCCATGATTATCTTCTGCAGCGACAGCGTCTTGTTGCCATGGGGCACCCCCATCCCACCCCATGATCAGGGAAAGCGTGGGAAGAAGGTACAGCCCTGGTCAGTTGGCAAGTGTTTTTCTCTGTATCAGAGCTTCTTAATCTCACGGTTCAGGATTTAGGGAGGCTCCCAACCCACAGAATCCTGAAGGCATAGCTGTGTCTTTGCCTTTCTCTGGAAAAGCATCACGGGTGTCCAAGAGCCAGCTGAGGTCCAGGGCCAGCTGTCCAGCCCGGGTCAGTTACTGTAGGGAAGTAGAAAAAAATGAGGCTCACTGCCCTCTCAGCAGGGCCTGCTGGCCACCGGCGACCGTGCCTGCCCCACGGAAATCAGTTTCCAGTGTTCACCTTTCTGATCTAAAGGAGATCTGAGAGCCTTTAGCTGTCATTTATACAAGTTCTGTGACCTCTCTCAGACTCAGCTTCCTTGTCGGTAAAGTGAAAATTCCGGCACCTCCATGGAGGCTCGGACGAGATCCTTGTATGGTTCCTGAGGGTGATGTCCAGCTCCAGGAGGGAGCCCACCGTCAGCTGCAGTTCCCCTGCTCTTCCCGCCCCCAGCCCTGGAGGAGTCTAGGCCGGAAGCCATGAGCCACCTCCCTGAGCCTGTGGGCAGGGTCTGGGGAGGTTGTTTCAACAAACAAGGGCTTTTTGAGACATGTTTCTGCCTTAACTGTAACTTTAGAGATGAAGCAAGCCAAGCTTTCATCAGAAGTTTCTCTAAAAGCTGTGAAAGTTAGATTGTTTTCACCTTTGTGGAGTTTCTCCATGTCTGAATTCCTGTCATACATGTAGTCATATTAGCCAATGAAAATTACATCACAGAAAACCTATCCCAGATACTGTCTAAAGCCACAGTGGTCTCCAAAACTGTCAATAAACATTAAGATTCCAAAGTCACATTACAGGCCATGTCACGTATCTGCTACCTTGTGAGGCCCTTTAGATACAGCAGCACAGTTGACACTTGGGGCCAGATGCTTCTCTGGAGTGGGGCTCTCCTGTGCACTGTAGAGTGTTGAGCGGCATCCCTGGTCTCTACCCAGGAGGTGCCAGGAGCACCCCCCCCATTGTGACAGCCCAGAATGTCTCTGGACATTGTCAGATGGCCCTGGGGGCTGTTGCCCCTGCTGAGGACCACTTACTTGGAACTTTACAGGGGCTTGCTGGGCTCAGGGCCCTCTCTGGTGGGTGGCAGTGGGTTGTGGGTGGTGGCAGGAGTGGGGACTTGGAGGCAGCCACCTGGGCTCTGCCATAGGGCAACCCTTGTGGGCAGGGGTGACCTTTGCCTCCTGAGTCCAGTGAACTGAGAGGTTGGGAATCTCCACAGCACTGGGTTTTCTTCTCCAGGTTCCAGAAGCGGCGATTGGATAAAGTCCGGCAGAGAAGGGAAGAAAAGGCAGCAGAAAGGCTGGAGCAGGAGCTGCTCCGAGGTAGCTCTTCCTGCAGCCGTTGTGTCAGCCCGGGTCCTGCGGGCAGGCGGGGTGGGGCTGGGCACCCGTGTCTCCCCAGGGTCAGTGGGTGGGTGGACAGTGACTCTGGGTGCCGGGCTGTGGGGGTTGTGTGGGCAGCAGGTTTCAGTTGTGCTCCTCTGCCCTCCAGACACGGTGAAGTTTGGTGAGGTCGCCCTGCAGCCCCCAGAGCTGACCGCCAGGCCCAGGACGGGCATGAACAGAGGCCAGGTGAGCAGGGACAGGGGAATGGCCCTGTTTGGCCCTGGTGCTCACAGGGCTAAGGCTGTTGGAGCAACCTAGGCTCTTTGTCACCTCCCCTCCTTCCTCAACCTGTGCCTCAGCGTTCCATCTTTCTGTTTCTCAGCCTGGCAAGAAATCGCTGATGCTGAGGATGCTTTTGAGCCCTGGTGGTGTGTCCCAGCCTCTGAACACCTCGCTGGCTCGACAGCGGATCGTGGGGGAGGAGAGAGAGAGGGCCGTGCAGGCCTACAGGGCGCTAAAGAAGCGGCAGCAGCAGCAGCAGGGCGCACGGTCACCACAGACACCCCAGGCACTCCACCTCCCTTCTGGGAAGACGCCAGAGCCACACCTGTGATGCTGAGAGACCAGGCCGCTGCAGCTGGGTGGAGAGGGACGGCAGACCACCTGCAGATGAGCAGCCTTTCCCTGGACACACCTGGGACTCCCAGGGCCTAGCACACCACCTCTCAAGAGTGGGAGAGGGTGCCAGGTCCTTGCTGTCTCGTTTTTTCCTCCTTAAGGACTGCTCTTTCACGAGTGACCATCCGCTGGACCCATATCTCGCGTGGGGCATCGTCCGTCCCCTGAGCCCCCATAGATGGGGCCCGTGCCTGGTTGAGACGCAGCCACTTGGGCACACCTGATGTCACTCACAGCTTTGTTCTGGACACACAGGTCCAGGCTGAGACATAACCCAGGGCCACTTTAGCGGGGCCAATCCTGTAATCCTGTCCCTAGATGGCTACTAATTGTAGATGCTGCCGATTTAGGTCGACTAAATTGATAACAGGCTCAGCTGGATTCAACAGAGCAACATGGCTGAACATGTGGGCCAGCACTGGGGGAGGAGGGACAGACCCCGGGGAAGGGGTCAGCGTCATCACCTAGACTTGCTCGTGGCTCCACTGTGACGGTCCCCACAGAGGCTGGTGGAGCCCACCCAAGTTTTGGTTCAGTTGTGGAGACTGCTGATGCCATCCACACTTGAGAAGATTTGAGGTTTGGTCCTTATGTCATCGAGGTCCCTGTGGCGAGCAGGGCACACCTCTCAAACAGGTCCCAAGAGGCTTGACAGCGAGGACAGGAGCCTCGCCTGGGACTCCTGTGGTTAGAGGGCCTGAGCAAGAGTTCCTGCCAAGAGTAGTGCCTGGCAAGGTTTGAATCTCCCACTGGTGCCAACAGACGGAGCACCCCGATTTTATCAGTGTGCCCACATGTGGGGCCCTGGGGAGCCGTGAAGGCTGTCAGCTGTCAGATGGAGGAAGGGAGTGGGGCTGTGCACCCCCTCTGAGGAGGCCGGCCACCAGCCCCTTGCTGGTGCGTGGCTCAGGCCCTTCCTATTGGCACAGACAGGAGCTCACTAGGTGCGGGTGGGCCCAGCCAGTGTGCACGTGCAGTGGAGTGGGGTCTTTTTGCCCTTCCCTTGAGGTGGGATGCACTGTTCCCACAGGGTGTGGGTGGTACTGTCGCTTCTGTAGTCTGAGTGCAGACTTGTCAGGGTTTTAGACTCAGCAGCTCTGGTTCCGAGAACCAGGAGGTAGAGTTGTGGGTGCCGCAGGAGTGTGGGTGGGTGGGTGGGTTTGCTGAGCTGACCCCTGACTTCCTAGGATCCAGGCCGCAGGGACACTGGGCAGGAGGAGGGGGAGGTGTGCACCTGGGCTCCTGTTGTCCAGAAAGTCAGCATTTTAACAACAAAAACTAGGAGCAGAGCTCTCGGAGAACACCACCACCGTGGTAGAGCAGGCTCCCCTGACTCGGCCTCTAGGGCGCACAGGGTGGTCAGGACCGGGAACTCGGTTTGCTTCCCACACACGGGACCAGGGCCCTGGGGCCAACCTTGCCCCGTGGGAAGACCTGTGAGAGCCAGCCCAGGGCAGCAGGGTGTCTGGAGGGCGGGCTGAAGTGCCTCTGCTGCCCGGCTGGCGGCTCCGGCTCAGTGACCGCGCCTTCTGTGCGGAGGGAGCCGGGCCTGCATGGATGCATTGGAATCAGAGTTGAGGGTTTAGCGCTGCTTCTTTCTAAGCATTCCTCAAAGTCTGGCACTGTGGAGACGGTAATATTTGCCTTTTATTTGAATGCCTTGTATTTTTGTTGCCTTATTCATTGGATGACATGCATGAAGGGCACAGGATTGAATGAATTCTGGAGGGAGCCGACTTCCAAACAGTCCCTCTGCTTCTCAAGCAGAACGTCTGGGTTTAGACACGGGCTCTGGGTGTCCTCCAGCCTACTCCTGGTCACCATCTTCAGTGGTTACTTCAGTCACTCACTAAAACTGGTCTGTGCTCTGGGGACTTCCAGGCACCACTGGCGCTTCTAGAACTGTGGTTCTGAACCTCTTTCTGGCTTACAGGTCTCGTCTGACAAAATACCAGGGAGATCATGAGGAACAGGACAAGAATTTCTACTGTCATTAGTTAATATAGTCCTGGAATTTCTGGTCAGAGGAATAAACCAAGAAAACAAATGTAACAAACTGTTTGCCAAGTGATATGGTTGTGGACCTGGAAAACCTCAAAATAACAGGAAAACATATAATACAGAATGTATATTTGTATCATTTATGTGAATAATTCAAAAAATATATGCAATTTAGATTTGAAATATAAACATTTATGTAGTGTATAGAGATTCTTGTATTTGTATAAATACATAAGAATAACATAAAGATAATTCAGTAGGTAGCCTATTAAAAATGAGTAAAAGAAAATAATTTTTAGGGGGCCAGCCCCATGGGATGGTGGCGAACTTTGCATGTTCTGCTTTGGCAGCCTGAGGTTCGCAGGTTCAGGTCCTGGGCATGGACCTACACACAGCTCATCAAGCCATGCTGTGGCGGTGTCCCACATACAAAATAAAAGAATATTGGCACAGATATTAGCTCAGCGACAATCTTCCTCACCAAAAAAAAAAGTTTTTATATATATCAGTAAAATTAGACAAGTTAATGAATTGTGGGTTTCATTCAGAATAGTGACAATTTTTAATATAGAAGTAAATTTGTCAAGAAATGTTAACGTGGATGAAGGAAACTACAAACTAGCAGGGAACAGGAAAGATTTACAGAACACAGAGGTTCTTAACAGGCAGTCTTGTTGCCAGGGGGCAGTCTGGAGACGTTTTGGGTGCTCCGGCATCTAGTGCATGGAGGCCGGGGATGCTGCTAAATATCCTACGGTACACAGGACGGTCCCACAACAGAATGATCCAGCCCACACTGTCAGCAGTGCTGATGCTGAGCAACCCTGGTCTAAAAGGAGAGGTGTACCTTGCTCCTGGATGGGAATACGCAAAATCAAACAGGGAAAAACTTTCAGCAGGGACTGTGGGGGAGGGGCCAGGGCTGGGTAAGCAGACAGCATATGGCCGCCCAGTTAACAGGGAATGTTGTCTCTGCAGTCAGCTGACGCCGGATGCTTAGTTGTTAGGAGGACGTGCCTTGGCTTTCCTGGTACCCCTGTGCCACACACCACCCCTAAACACACACACACATACATGCATACCTCAGATACACCCACACATGCACATACCATATCCAAACACACACATGTGCTCACACTCAACACTCATATACATGCACCATCTTATCACACGTAGTACATCTGCCACACATACACTCCAAGTACACTCAGACATACACATGCACACACATTCCAGACAGAATCACACATGCACACTCACCTACGTACACTCGTGCACAAACCCCCATCATCTGGACACATACACATGCACATCTGTGTACACATGCACCCACTCAGATGTAGACAGCCCCACAGTCACACCATCACACCCCATACTTTCGGTCCTCCTCCTGGGCCCTCTCCTTTTGCCCTGGTGACCAGCCACCTGTCCCCAGTGGCAGGCACGGGCTTCCCTCTGCACCCTAGCACTGTCAGCCTTTGACTATGCTCTGCCGCAGCATTTTAGACCAGGCCTCTGCTTTGCTCCGTGTCACCGGGAGGAGCGAACCCGGAGGATAAGGGCAGCCTGGCCCTTCCACATCCTCCCCGCAAGTGCCCAGTGCCGGGCTCTGAGGACAGATGGCTCCACTCATACTGACAAAGCAGCTGGCCCATGATGGCCTCTCCTGTGCCCCACTGCTGGCCTGCCCACTAAGCCCACACTGCAGGCTGTGCTGCTTTCCCTCCCACTGGAGAGAGGTAACTGCATCCACATTCTGCCAGTGTGGGAATGGAGCTCCTCCAGTCAACCCTCCTTCACCACCCTGCCTCGTGGGAGCTGCTTCTCTGCTGCCCCTTCTTTGTTTAGATCCTGGTCACCCCTCCTCCCTCCCTGGCATCTGCATTCTCAGGAGGTTCCCCTCATGCCCCCGGAAACTGGGCGAAGCGACAGCATCCAGGGACGGAGGGAGCTGCTGAGGCAGACGGGGCTCTGGCTGGGCCACAGCTACATAGAGCAAAGCCTGAGCTTCTGTTCCTTCCTAGCCCGGGATGCGCAGTCACACAAACACTCTGCACAAAATAGGGGGCGGGGGGAGCAAAACCAGCCATCCCAGACTGGTCACCTTATTCACACTGAAAAAGCACAGTTGAGGGGGTTCTGCCCAGGCTCCGATTCGGGGAGCTCCCGTCTCAGCATCCTTCCACCTCTCACCTACCCTTCGTTCCTAGGATCTTTAGGAGATGTGGATGTACATCAGCTCAAAGTGGATGTTTAAGAGATGAAGACCAAAGATGGAGCTTCCTGTGTGTTCCAACCTCCCACAGGGCTGAGCTGGTTTCTCTCTGTACAAAGGGAAAACAATCTGCACAAAATTGGGGGGGTGGGGGCAAAACCAGTGATCCCAGACTGGCCATCTTACTTGTACACACAGGCCTCGCAACACCCTGCGTGTGGATTCTCTCAGAGCCAAGTGTTTTTTCAGACTAGTCACATTTAAACATATGTACAACGTCATACTTTTCATTACACTGCTGCATAATGCTATCCTTTGTTATCCTAGTGTTGGATTTGATGGGAAACCCAAACCCTTAAAGAAAGTTCTTATCCAGATGCTATGAAAGCATGCTGACAAGAATCCACAGGCAGAGACGTCCTTTGAGAAGAGTGGCACCCTCAGCAGTGTCAGTTCCCAGATTCAGGAACTGAATTTAGCTCCCGGGGGTGGGGTGGCTAGGCCATGGGAGAGTGTAGTGCTCCAACACACAGGGTGCTTGGACCCAGAACAGACCCCCAAGAGCAGCGGAGGACCCCAAAGACAGGGGTCGGGGGCATCCCCGCCACTGTTAGGGTGAGCCACCTCTACTCTGGAGGACACACCAGTTTACTCTTAAGAAGCGCCCTAAATCCAATCATAGGTGTCCCCATAAGAAAAAAATGGGCAGCCACACAAAGACAGAGGCAGAGATTCAAGGTCTGCAAGCTGCAAGCCAAGGAACGCCAAAAACTACCAGCAGCTAGAATCCATTCTCCCTCAGGGCCTCCACAAGGAGGCTGTGGACACCTTGATTTTGGACTTCTGGCCTCCAGAGCTGTGAGCATAAGTTTCCATTGCTTTAAGCCACCAGTTGGTAGTAATTTGTTACAGAGGCCTTAGGACACAAATATACCAATCGATACGTGTTCTCCAGAAAGCTCCCCCAGCTGTGAAAGGACACGAGCGGGACATGGGAGCCTTGGCCCTGAGGGCCTGGTGATGAGCTCGCCGGCAGCACCTCCCATGCTCCACTGGAGCCTCTCCCAGCCCTCGCCTACCTGCAGGAACCCCACATCCTCCTGGCTTCTCGGGGCAATGAGTGTTCACGTAACAAATGCACCAATGAAATGCTTCTCTGGTTTCTGATTCTAGGCTTGGTTCTTCCTGTGACACTGGCTTCATCCAGCAGGGGTCACACCATCAGTGTATCAGACCGCCACAGGCTACAGCTTGTACCACAGTAGAAAGAGGTCTGTGGTGCTTGGAGTCTAAACACCTTGGGGAAAGAGGAGGGGGTTTCCTGGTGGGAGGGGAACAAAACCCAGTAGCAGCAGGACACCAGCTACCCACCAGGCCTGTCCCCTTCCAGCCCTGGGGACAGAGGCAAGATGTCAGGAGTTTCTGTAACCTAGATGACTCCATTTATCCATCACTCAGCTCAGCACACAAGCCTATCTTCTACGGCTCACATTCAGCCATCCCGCCCCCGCAAGAATAAACCGCCAGAGGCCAAGCAGTGCTGTGCTCTGCCTCCTCGCCACAGAGCAGGACAGCCACATTCCTCCACCCTGTAGTCAGCTGTGGGTTCTGTGGGTGTCCTGGAGCCAGCGCAGCACCTCTGACAAGCCAGTGCCTCTCAAGGCACTGATTTCTGCTGTGGTGATGTTCTGCTTGGCGCAAGCAATGATGTCCGGGAGCCTGATTAATGACTGCATCTCCTCTACGGTCATATAACAGGGCAGGTCACTGCAGCAAAAGAAGCACTGTCAGAGCGGGCTGCCCCAAGGCTACCCCAGGCCCCACTGCACCCTCTCCTAACAAGCCACCCTCCTGGCTACACTCCAAAGGAGCCCTGCCCTGAGGCACCCCCTGCACTCTCTCTCGGCTCACAGACGCATACATTTTATTGAAGAGTATCAGAACCGATGCTTCTGCAAGTTGTTCTGCAGATAGAAGACCCAAGAGTTGCACACAGGATGCAGACAGCTGGGTGGGGTTAGAGGCATCCATCATGAACTGTGAAAGAAGGAAAAAGAGATCAGGACCACCCTGCGAGGAAAGACAGTCCTTGCCAAATCTCTCCCCTTGGGCATCACAGAACTGGCTTAGGAAGGGCAAAATGACTTTTAAACAAAGGGTTTTGGGGACAGGCAGAAGCAGAGAGAAACTAGTTGCACGAGAATGACCTGGTGTCATTTGTTTCCATCTACACAGAGTCTCTTTTTTTTTTTTGAGGAAGATTAGCCCTGAGCTAATCTGTGCCCATCTTCCTCTACTTTATATGTGGGACGCCTACCACAGCATGGCTTGCCAAGTGGTGCCATGTCCGCACCAGGGATCCGAAGCAGTGAACCCCGGGCCACCGAAGCAGAACGTGCACACTTAATAGCTGCACCACTGGGCCGGCCCCTACCCAGAGTCTCTTTGTGTGGTCATCAGTTCTCCAAGGAGCAGGTCTGGAATTTGGGGCACAGGCCTTGCCAGAACCAAAGGGATGTAGAAATCAAACATGAACATAAAAACACACCTGGGGCAACAAGGCAGACAGTATAGATGTCAGACAGTTACGTGCAGAGAACAAACACTGCCCTCAGCAAGGCTTCCGTGAGCTTCTATATTCCTCGGGAACAGGAGCACTTGGGATCAGGCTGGCTTCCCAGGAGAAAGCAGCTCTAGTGTGGGCCCTGTTCCCTTGACTAGCATAGTCGCTCAGGAACCCAAACTCCATCTCATACAAAGTGAGGTTGGGGACAAGACAAGGCCAGAATGGGGACACACTTCCCTAAAAGCAGTTCGAAGGATTGACCTACCAGGAGAGAATGGCAGTTTCCATAGTAACTGGACCAGATGGGGCCCATGCAACCCCCTAGCTCCCGGATGGTGATCTTTCTCTGGACCACGATGTCAGTAAGGTTAGTGCCCACCTGTGGAAAAAAACACGATGCAGAGAGGACAATACAGGCGTCTTCCCATTCGAAACTCCTAGACAGCAACTTGCACAGCCTCCTATGCTGTGATCTAAGCTTCAACAGATCCCTCTCAAGGACTCAGGCTTTAAGGCAAAACCTATACCCAAGGAGAATTACAGATGCTTCCACCGGTCCAGGGCCTGGCCCCGCAGGGCCGGGTGTGGCCGGAGTACCAGCGCCCATCAGTGGGATTCGCCCTGTGGGGCGACTAGCGAAAACAGTCTTGAGGGGTGGGCGGCTGGGGCACCTATCTCCACTGCGGCTCTGCCTCAAGGGAACCAGGCTCCTTCCGGGACTCCCCACTCGGCTCCCGAGGGCCATATTTAACTATCGACCGGCTGGATTCCAGCCTCCACTTAGAACTCAAAGTCCTCTGCAAATCGCAAAGGGTCCCCGATTCTACTAGCCCTGCGGGAGGGCGGACGCCTACCGTGGGCCGCGTCGGGGGAGGATCGCCCAGGTGTCCCTTCCCATCCCGGGAGCTCAGCTGTGCGGCGCAGTCAAGGACCGGGAGCAGGCAGAGGAGGGCAGCCGGCGGTCAGCCCCCGCCCCCCAGGAGCCCCCGCATCCCGGACCCCCAGCCCCGGTCCTCCGGACGCCCCTGCCCCCGCAACCCGTCCCCCGAGCGCAGCCAGCACCCCCCAGGCGCCCCTGCCCCCCAGGTCTCCAGGCTCGGCGCGGAAGGATAGCTTGCAGTCGTTTCACCAACAGCGTCTTCCCGACGCCCGTGGGCCCCAGGATGAGACACATCCCGGCCCCTAGCTCCACCCGGTACCCGTAGCTCTGCCCCGCGGCGACGCAAGGCCCGCCCCCCGCCCCGCTCTCATTGGAGGGGCCTCGCCTCCGGGCGGCTCATTGGTTCTCGGCGCCCACCGACTCGACGGGCGCGGCCCGATCGGCGCACAGAGTGTGGGCCAAGCGTAAAGGCCCGCCTCCTAGCGGCTCGCGGGCTTGCCCGGCGACGTGCGCGTGAGCGCGCCCGGGGTGAAGGCGGAAGCGGAAGTCGGGGGCGCGCCGGCTGGCAGGGAGGGAGTGCCGCGGCGTCGGGTCGGCTCCGGGGTCGCCATGGGGCGCGGCAGCGGCACCTTCGAGCGTCTCCTAGGTAACGCAGCCCCCGCCCGCCCCCCGCCCGCGCCTCCGCCGCGCGGTCCACTGGCCCCGGCCCGGGGCGCGCCCCGCCGGCCCCCGCCCCCTGGCCCAGCCCGCGGCCGCCGGGAGGGCGCCGAGGGCGGCCGCCGCGCGACCTGGGCCCCGTGTGGGCGCGCCGGCGACGCGGGGGCTCGGCAGTCTGGGCACTGGGCGGACGTCCCCCGCAGTGGGCGCGGGTCCGCGGAGGTGCCCTCGCGCGGGGCTCTCGGCCCCTGGGGCTTGGAAGCTGGCGGGTCCCGGGAGACGGTCGGGCTCCTTCTGGAACCGCGAGCTCTGACCCAGCGACGGGGCCAGAAGTCCTGAGTCACGAAACCGGTGACTCAGTCAAATAATAAGATTTCAGCAGACTTCCCTCCCCCGAAAAAAGCCTAGATTGTATAGGATTTGGAAGTTATGACCCAAACATTGGGCCCCGAAGGGTGGAGCCAGTCGCGTCGTTCCTGGACCCTGCCGAGCTCTTTTGAGCGCTGCTTCCCTGGGGAGCCGGACCAGAACCCAGGGAGCGCCCGGTGGGTTAGGAAGGCGTATTCTCTGTTTGCTGGAGGTGTAAGGCTGATCCTTTCTGAGCCTCCTGGAGGTCACAAATTTTAGGAAGGAAAGTGAATATTTGTGGGCATGTTCCCCCTCCCCAAAAGAAGCTACTGGCACCCGTGTTTGGGACAGGCTCTCTGGGTGCTCCGGTAGTCAGCCCGAGCCTGCCCTCCGATGAGGCGTGGAGCGCCTCCTTCTGCCTTCCTTGCTTTTGGAGCATGCAGGCTGAGGAACTCAGCCATACAGGGATGGTTCAGCCCTTCAAGGATCAATCCAGAAGTTATTACCAGATCAATACTGAAAGTGGACATGCCTTATTAGGTCATCTGTATGTCAGGAGATGGTGCCAGCGGGGCTGGAGCAGCAGCTTCTCGGAGCGTCTGCTATCTGGGACAGCTGTGGCACACAGTAGTGATATTGGGTGGAGAATCCTTCTTGGAGGTCAGTCCCATCTTTGCCCCAAAAAACACTTGAAGTAGAGGGCTGGAATCCGTGCTGCGTCTCTCTCTAGCCTTGCCCCAACTGAGATCTGATGGAATAGGTTAAACTTCTAGAAAAAAACAGAAACTCTGAGGGACGAGATGGCAGAATTCTCTTTGTTGAGAAGCAGCCCAGCATAGAGTTGAATTCCGGCTTTATCCCCAGCAAGCTGTGTGACTTTGGGCGGTAACCTCACCTCTCTGCTTCAGTTTCTTTATCTGCAAAGAGGATGGAAATAGCACCTAGCTCTTAAGCTTGTGTGAGAGTGGAGTGAGTGAGTTCACAAAAAGTGTTTGGAACAGCACCTGGTGGATAACAAGCCCATGACGGGCATTCTCTGTTACTGTTTTTCAAGTTATTTGCCCCTTGTTTGGGCAGGACAGCGCTCATCGTTATCGAGCATCAGGAGGATTTTCACATGGTTTTCCATTTCGTTCAAATGTTTAAAATGGGAAGGAGGCAGTTGCTCCTCCCGGTTGCTGAGCTGGGGGCTTCCTAAGGAATCACACAGCAGGACAAGCCCTGATCGTGGTGCGTTTCTGCCTTAGACAAAGCAACCAGCCAGCTTCTGCTGGAGACCGACTGGGAGTCCATCCTCCAGATTTGCGACCTGATCCGCCAGGGGGACACACAGTAAGTGGGGAGGGCCTGTGCTCACTAGAACCAAGGGCCTGGTCGTGCCATCTGTTGGGGTTGCTTGGTGCCCACTGACCCTCCAAGATCCTGCGATGATCTTCTGGATGGAGTTTTCTTCAGGCGGAGAGTTGCCTGGTGTGCTTTCTGGGATTTTTGAGACCTTGGGACAACTAAAGGATTTTCTCTGTATGGCTGGGAAGCACGTGGTTACCTGAACATTTGCTGGGGGTTCTCAAGGACCACATGGCGGTGGACTTTTCTCATCTTGGTTGCTGAGACTATTTCCTTTTTTCCTTCTCTTTCTGCTTTTCCCAACGCCCTTTTTTCTCAGAGCAAAGTATGCCGTGAGTTCCATCAAGAAGAAAGTCAACGACAAGAATCCCCATGTGGCCTTGTATGCCCTGGAGGTAATGAGACCCCTGCATTCCCGTCGTCCAAGGGTCCCCGCCCCCTGTTGGGATGGCAGAGATGAGTCAACCAGTGGCTTTGCCCACCTGCCTGGGCATACCACCAGCAGTGAGGGGCCCAGAGGGAGGGCAGATGCGAGCAGCCCTGATGAGGGCTGGGGCAGGGGAAATGCTGACAGACTTGGATCCCTGAGCTCGACTCTGGTCTGTCCTTGCGATAAAACGTGGAGTTAGAAGGAGCGTGTATAGCGCTGGCTGCCGCCTGCCTTAGAGGATGCCACGTGGGCTCTCCTGACTGCCTGGGTGGCCCTAGAGGCCTGTCAGCCCTGCCTTCTTGTTGGGGGGTGCGCCTGTCCAGGAGGGGGTGTCCCTGCCCTGACCGGCAGCCTGACCCTTCCCTTCCTTGGGGTCTGCAGGTCATGGAGTCTGTGGTGAAGAACTGTGGGCAGACCGTCCATGACGAGGTGGCTAACAAGCAGACCATGGAGGAGCTGAAGGAGCTACTGAAGGTGGGGGCCTCGTGGGGAGCAGTGAGGTCCAGGCTGGGGATACGGCTACCCCATGGCCTGCCTTGTGGGTGTTTGCTGGCACCTCTGGCAGGAGCAGTGCCAGGTTGGGCAGAGGACGGGAAGGCGTGCATTGGTCGTCCTCGCATGGTGCCACTCCCAAACCGGTGAGGTCAGGGCCTTACCGGAAGTGAGCCGGGTGCTGAGCCTAGGGGCACAGAGAAGACCCCGCTCTTCCTGTGGGGTCGGGATGGCTTACTGAGGGCAGGGCTTGGAGCCAAGTCTTGAAGGAGGGGGACCTCACCCTCACTGAGTGGTAGAGAAGTAGGTGGAAGGAAACAGGGTGTGCGAGCAGAGGCCTAGGGGTGTCCCGGAAGGCGCTGGGTGGGTCCCACGCATGGGGCCCCAGGAGGGATTCTGAGCAGGGAGGCCTGTGAGTCTGACGTGTTTATTATGAAGGGACAGTTGAGGGGAGACAGCAGAGCAGGGACACCTTGGAGAGTGCGTTTCATGCTATTCTTTGGCAAAGCAGGGAGAGTCCTCCAGAACCCCAAGAGAGAGTGTTCTGAGTGGGCAGCTGCCTGTGGCCTCAGGCTCGCACTGCCCACCTGCGGGGATTGTGATGTGGGCAGTGACACCGGGAGGTTGTGTGATGCAGAGTGGAGTGGTGCAGCCATTCTTTGAGGGGAAAGGGCATTCCCCAGAGATGAGGCTGCCCAGGGTGGCAGCTGAGGAGCACAGCCCTGGGCTCCATCTCTGCCACCACTGGTGAGCCAGGCCATGGTTTCGTGGGCCTGTCCAGGTGCCTGTGGGCCCACGTGGCCAAGAGCCCATCTGGGACCTGAGCTGACAGCAGGGCTTCTCTGAGGCCCTGGCTGGTGACATTGGCCGTTCCCTACTCTGGGCAGGCTGAAACAGCAGAAGGAGTTAGAACCTGGTCTCTCCTTGTATTGGCACCATTGTGTTCTGTTCGTGGGGCATGTGGTTTATGCCAGTTAGTCCTCCCTTGGCGGGGGCAGGGTTATGAGAGGAAAGGGGGGGGCCGCTGACTGGACACAGATTATGAGAAAGAACCGAAGCCCAGCGTGCGAGCTGTAGTAGGTGTCTCTGTGAGCAGCCTTCTTATCCCACCGTTCTCCTGAGCATCGTGTGTGGACTTTGTCCCCAGGAGGACTCTGGAAATGTGATTCGCTGTGCTTTGACCTGGTGGAAATGGTTGCTGCCCCCAACCCACCCCAGCTGGCTATGGGAAGGAGGGAGCCAGCCAGAGGCACATCTGCTCCCTCAGCCCAGCCTGTTTGGCTCTGCCTGTTAGAGGCCAGCGTTAACTGGGGCCAGAGCGGGTTACAGACTGAGGGGCTCCTGAGGCTGATCAGGGTCCCAAGGGGCAGGAGAGAGAGAAGCAGATGGTTACAGGATGGCAGAACTGGAGAACTTTGGCTTCAGGGGTACCCCAGCTTTTCTCAGGGTTAAAGAAAAGTCCAGGCCCTGAGTGGACAGACAGGTGCAGTAGGTTTGTCCTCAGGGACAGGGTTCCATGGAGGAGGGCTGGGCCTGGAGAGTGGGTCAGTACATGGCCCTGGCACCCCGCTTGGGGGACCCAGCCTGCCTCTGCCAGCTCCGTCTGCTTGGAGTTGTGGGGTCTTGCCAGCCACTTCCTCATGCTGAGATGTCTCTTTGGCACTGGCCTTTCCCAAGGCCCTCCTTATCTTTCTCCTTCCCTTCTTTGCAGAGGCAGGTAGAAGTAAATGTCCGAAATAAGATCCTGTATCTGATTCAGGCCTGGGCACACGCCTTCCGGAATGAGCCCAAGTACAAGGTGGTCCAGGATACTTACCAGATCATGAAAGTGGAAGGTGAGTCGGAGCAGGCTTGGGATGTGGCCTCCAGGAGCCAAGAGGCTGCCCCTGTCCACCCTGAGCAGGGTGGGGGATGGCGCCTCACCACATGACCATCATTGGGAATGTGGAGTAGGTGTCCCCACAGCGGGGACATGGGATCAGCCTGGTTCTGGACACCCGAGCCCCTGCCTTTCCGAATCTTATTCCCCATCGGGGTAGGGGTGGAGAAGGGGCAGTGCAGCAGACAACACAGAAGTGAAAAGTTA